CGAGAATTACTCTCTGCATTTAACCCATCCCCTTGGGGAGCAGTGGACTGACATTGTGCGGCACCCGGGGAGCTGTGTGGGGTTAAGGGTCTTTGCTCAGGGACCCAGAGTGGCAGTCTGTGGCAGTGGGGCTGGAACTCAGAACCTCTGGGATCAAAGTGCAATGCCCTAACCACTAGACCACCACTCCAACTAATATGTTATTGTTGTTTAAACTGCAATGGTTAGAGAGAGAAGTATTTCATTCTATCACTACTAGGGGCATAGTAATATTTTACATTAGTATAATTATGTTTTTTTTATATACATTTTGATAACTGTATAACTGTTCTATAAAACTTTACATATTTCATTTATGATCTATGAGGTGCTTTTATAGAGACTGGCCACCTTCTGAAGACACCTTGGTGTAAAACTTAGCTAGGCTAAGTTTTCATCTTCTAAGCTGCTTTAATTCATCATGGCCTAGATTCAGCAAGAGGTTGTAATTTTTTAATCCGAGTTTTTTATCCTTATTGAAATAGTAGCAGCCGCCAGTTGTTGCAGATTGTTTGGGAGTTGCTCATCTTACTGTAACTCAAAGGAGCTTTGTTAGAGAGACATATTTCAACTAGTATTAGATTATTTGAGTTTTGTCACATTTAGCATTATCCTCCGGAAACTAGCAAGTCAGGCATGTTGTGATCATAAAGGGCTGTTCATGATGAGAGGCAATACTCGGGTGTGCTGTAACACTCATATAAGGCAAGTGAAGTTGATTTATAAAACACTTTCAGTGACACAAAGTTACAAAGCACTATGACGCATCAATCAGTTCCTCAACTGGTAGTAAGGGATCCGAAGCGCACTAAGAAAATACTTCTGACAACCTTATACTAAATCAAGCTCATAATTATTTATAAGGCAAATTTAAAAACAACATTCTGTTTTCAAAATACTGAAGAAGACAAAAACAATGAGATTAAACACATCATTACAACAACAGGGGAGAACTAAAGCATAAATCAAAGAGCAATACACTACTGGCAGAAAGTCAAACTGGGTTTACTGCCAGTGGTGTATTGATAGGTTGAAGAGGCCTTTCTAACAATGGATTGTGAGGAGAGAGGTCTGAAAAAGCCTGATCACCTCTACAGTATGCTAGATCCTCCTTCTACCAAAACTACCAAAGTAAGATGATCTAATTATTTTAGTGCCAGAGAGGCTGCAGCAGGTCAGAGAGATATAGGTGTGCAGTCCATCAAGATATTTACACTATTGGTCAACAGATCGTTAAAGTTTATGAGACTCACAGGGATTCAATGATGAAGAGAGGATAAAGAGTACAATGTGGACAAACCTACAGCAGCTGAGCTGCAGCATTCTGCACAAGCTAAAGACTTTAAAGGTTGACCTGACTAAGCCTGATATAAAGTGTATTGGAATAAGCAAGACAGGCTGTAATAAAGACCTAGACTAGTCTTCAAGTCAGGTCTGGTTAGCATTGACTCAGTGTCGACCACCAGCTTGAACTGTTGATGTAATGCAGGATGGACCCATGCTTTCATTTAAAATTAATCCCGACGCCATATGAATGTTGGTATTAAACTCGGTGTGAGCTTCTGTGAACCACAGCCTGGGTTTCCTGTTCTTAGCTGAGAAGATTGTCAATCAGTGTTGCTGCGGCCAACCTCTCCTAATACGAGAAGCTTTTTAATAAATGGTATTCTGCATTGCTTTGCTATGATCTTGAGTCATTAATGAGGCATTTTTGATTAAAGATTCACAATCAAGTAAATTTTTCCTAATGCATTAGTGTAGATCTCAATGCTGATCAGACAACACTGTCACATTTACAGACATTTTCTTTTTCAATCTGTTGCCTGGTTTGAAATTTACTTCAGCAGGTCTTGATACCTTATGTATTTAGCTATTGCAATGTGATTGGCTTTTTCAGTTTCTGTCAACAAGCATTACAGTGTCTAATAAATGCACGTGTATAGTAAAAGGTGTATGCAATATTGTAGCTATTCATAGGCAGAAAACTAACCCTTTTTACCTTAAAATAGCTCAGTTGTAGGCAAATAAAAACAGTTATGTTACTTTAAGAGGTGATATGGAATAGGCCTTTTTGGATGGACCTGAACCTATATACAAAATGTTTATGAAGTCTTGCTCAAGGGTATTTACTTTTTTCAGAATTACAGCACAAACTTTATGTAGAGGCTTAGCTTTTATCATCAATTGAGACTTTTCTAATTTACTCCATTCAAAGAGCGTTTTTCTTATCTTCCCCATCTACTTCCTGTCACGCCAAAACCCTTTATGTAAGAAAAAAAAAAACAAAACCAAAAGGAGTTTGCAGAACTAAAGAATAGTTCCTTTTTTATAAGTTAAACAGATATACTGAAGTTACAGCAACATTCCTCTTTCAAACAAAGGTGAGGATAAAGAAAAGTACATGTTTTGACATTTAAGACAAAGACAAAAAAAAAAAAAAGATTTTTGTTCCAACACCTCAGAGCGAGGGTTTGGGCAGAGGACATCAAACATGTGTATGTTGGCTCCTACTTAAACGTTCACACCCACAGATTCACACAGTCAGGAAATGCTGACTGTAAAGAGCAGGTGATGGTGACTACTGGTGCACATAGTCAGCGAACAGAACTTCAGATCTACTGCAGGCCTGTAAACCAAACTTTGTCACCTTAGTTTAACATGATATAAGGCATAGTTTAACATAAGGCATTCTCAGGCTGAGACACCTGCATTCTGAATGAATGTCAAGATAAAGCAGCAGCTGCAGTGAAATAAAGCACTATCCATTGCTATAGGCTATGACTAACATTTAAATCTTACTAAATGATACTGAGATATTAATTTTAGGTCAGATTTACAATTTTTAGCTTTGGCCTAGTTTACGATTTATTTATTATTATTCTTTTACTTTCTGTTACTGGTCATGTGTGTGCATGGTGGCAAGTCAGCCAAAGGGACATTCCAATGCTTGACCTATGATGACCTGAGAGTGTCTAACATCACCTTATATAATAATGATGTGGTCTGGGGGAGAATGTATGATGCTGCAGCTTTAGAGTTTGGATGAGGCACCTTCTAGCTGGGTGTGGCATTTTTATGATAAATTGGAAAAACATTTATTAGATCTTGACTATTTTCTGTTCTGAGCTATGGCCAAGAGGGTAGGCCCAAGATAAAGAAGATAAAGACTTCCTCTGTAATCTGTACTTATATCAATGATATTGTGCAACATCATATGAGTAAATTCTGTTAAAACTTAAAGAAGTTTCTTTTTGTACACTTTTTGCGAAACATTTCTCCTCGGATTAGAACAGGGTGATCAAACAGCCTACAGCCAGTGTGGTTTTTATGAAGCTGTTCACTTCTCCATTTATGGCATAATTTTATTCTTTTTTTGCATCCTATTTTACCTTCTTCCTCTTACACTTGGTGAATGCGGAACAACAACTTCCTGAAAATTGTCTGAATGTCATACTAAAAAAAAAAACAACTACTTGCAGCATAAATCTGTGTAAATATTAAGAATAATTATGAAATACTTCATTATAAAGTATTTTTTTTTAACATAGAAAGCATATTGGATCAATTCAATTCAATTCAATTCAATTCAGTTTATTTATATAGCGCCAAATTCACAACACATGTCATCTCAAGGCACTTTACAGTTCAACCAGATCATACAGTCAAATTGATACAAAGTTTTCTATCTAAGGAAAACCAGTTGATTGCATTGACTCATTGACTCAAATACAATCCCCCACACTAAGCATGCTTGTAGCGACAGTGGAGAGGAAAAACTCCCTTTTAACAGGAAGAAACCTCCAGCAGAACCAGGCTCAGTGTGAGCGGCCATCTGCCGAGGCCGACTGGGGTTCAAGGAGACAGAAGCAGAGATACAAAAAGCAGCTGTAAAAGGCGGCCCCGTCCAGGAAACACACAGCCAGGCAGACGAGCTCCAAGGCAGCTCCCATGCCAGAGGACGAAGAGAGCACATCCACTCAGTCACGGTCAGAGAAACAGGACCACACTGGAAAACAGGCCGATCTCCAACATCTATTAACAAGGGTGTTGATAGAAGCAGCACAGCTGATGTTTTTTTCCAGGATGACGTCACAGCCAAACAGGAACAGACGAGGCAAAGCTACTCTGAGGAAAAGCAGAGAGAGCAGAAGGTTAGAGATTGAACTAACAGATTCTGCAGAATAGGAGAACAGAGAGAGAATGAAGCAGAATGATGAAATGGGGGTCCCTATGTCCTCCAAAAGTCTAAGCCTATAGCAGCATAACTATAGAGATAGCTCAGGATAACCTGAGCCACCCTAACTATAAGCTTTATCAAAAATGAAAGTTTTAAGCCTAGCCTTAAAAGTAGACAGGGTGTCTGCCTCACGGACTAAAACTGGTAGTTGGTTCCACAGGAGAGGAGCCTGATAACTAAAAGATCTGCCTCCCATTCTACTTTTAGAAATTCTAGGAACCACTAGTAAACCTGCAGATTGAGAGCGAAGTGCTCTGTTAGGAACATAAGGAACAATCAGATCTCTGATATAAGATGGAGCTTGGCCATTTAAGGCTTTATATGTGAGAAGGAGGATTTTAAATTCTATTCTTGATTTAACAGGAAGCCAATGAAGAGAAGCCAGGATAGGAGAGATATGATCTCTCTTTTTCATTTTCATTAGAACCAGGATCAGGACCTCAATGTTCACTTTGTGTGTTCAAGTGACTCAAATATCATATCAGTTGTGGACACCGAGTGTAGGTCTGGTGGAAGTTTCTTCCTGTTTAAGATCAACATTAATTTTTTTCTGTCACATGTTCATCCAGAAGTGAATGCTGCACGTCAATGGCTTGATGCAATCAGCCGGGTTTCCTTGAATAGAAAACTTTTTTAACACATATGAATTATAGATTCCATTTGACTCAAATTCTAAAATAAAACCAGGGTTGTCAGGGTTAGATTGAAAGGCTATGAGGATATGTGCAGATCTCAGAGGATTTAATTGAAACAACGTGGCAAAATGTGGAATTTCTATAGCACTGTAAATGTTACTGGATAACAATAAGTGATCTGTAGTTATGTGGAAACATTTCAAACAATCAAAATTTCAAAACAATCCTTTATATGAACTTTTTTTTTAACTGGAAAATGTGATGTTATTAACAATCCACCTGTTTGAATGAATGTTCCAGTTGTTAAGAACAGAAATACTGTTGTGCAAACATCAATTCCAACTTACTGCACTTCTTTAGGGTAACTTTAATTAACTTTTACAGAGTGGATCTATCAATGTTTCGCTCCTTCTACACGGCTATAATAGATTTTCCGTCCTTTATATCAGAGATGCATTTTCCTATCTCTTTCAAGAAGTTTGAGCCCAAATTTTTACTACTACAACACATTCCTGAGATGATGTAACTGACAATTACATGTATATTGGATTAGGTAGAGGTAAGTTAAACCAATGATTCAGTGTAGCTAAGAACACGAATGTTCGCAATAGTGTTTAGGTGGTTTTATACTGTGAAAGACAATACATGAAAATATATGTAACATTCATTACACATCAAATGCAACAAAATAAAAATCCCTTTGACAAGAAATAAAGGTAAAAATGAAACATCTAAGCACTTTTCACATGTACTATCTCCCTTTTCAGTCTGGCTGAAACAGGAATTTCCACCTGAAGATAAGGTTGCATGATCACAAAAGGGCATGGTTTATATGATATAGCTGGGAGCTAAACTTTTCACCAAACCTCGGAGTGAGATGTTGAAATAGTTTGGAAAGATACATAGATGCAGCTATAGGTTGTAGGTTTTCAAAAGATTTAACTGAAACAAAGTGTCAACATGGGGAATTTTTGATAGGACAGTAAATGTAACCGAGTAACAATAAGTGATCTGTAGTAATGTGGAACATTTTTCTCACAATATACATTATTTTCTATATTCTGGTGATTTTCAGAGAACTGAAGTAGACTGAAGAAGAGTGGACCCTACTAAAATAGTTGCATCTTAATTATACTGTAAACTAAGGATTTTACAACTTGTTTATTAATTATATTGAACAGTTCAAGTAAAATAAACAATGGGAAACTAATAAGTTATTACTGGATTGATTGTCCCTAATACAGAAACCACTGAAATCAAATCCTGTGCAAACTACACTGTGTATGAATATTTGTCAATATGCGAAGGATAAAAAAGCTTCACTCATTATGTTATTAGTTTTTTTTTATTGGAAAATGTGATGGAAATTATGTTTTTAAGCATGTTCAATGGACCAAAATAAGGCAAAATGAATAAGATAAGTAATAATAAAATGAGAGCATCCCTGTGGTTCCTCCTCTGTGAATCCTGGAAAACTGAGTTGTTCTGACCATCCTCTCTGTATGAGGCAGGTCTTTTCTTGGATGGCTGATCTTTTGAAAAATAAAATGCAATGGTTCTTTCTCTTTTTGTGAACCTCATATGGATTGTTGACGCAAACCTGAAAGCTTTAAGTATTTAGATATTTGCGTTGGTTTAATTAGTCCTAAATTCCAATGGGAGATTATTACACTAGACTGAGCAATAATTATTTTACTTGTGAGAAAAACATGGACTAAAACTGGGAATTAAAAAAAAGCACTAGGTAAAGAGCAAATAAACCATTTAATGTGATCCTACATATCTAAACATTGATTGCGAACTGCTTTATATTTAACTCATATTTACTTAAGTACTAGATTGCTTGAAATCTCCAATAATTTAATAAGAAAATTAACTTAGTCCAGGTGAGATAAGATAAAAATTAAAATGACATACCTCAAAATAACTTCTCAGAAATCCCAGTCTAAGCTGCTTTCAGTGAATAGGTGGATTAGTGCAAAAATAAGGACTGGATTACACTTGGCATGTCCTTGTGTGTTAACACTAAGGGTGTATTAAAAATGCGGACTGGATTCTCATAACCATGCTATTTTTATGTATAAATAAGTGGAATGAAGTTGATTTTAAATGTCTGTAATTTTAAAGCGTAAAAAATTGGGAATATGGAGTGAGAGTGTGTGAAGACACTGAGATGCATGAGTCTCATACCCAACAGGTGAAGGTTGACATTCCTGTATAGGGGTGAGTCTTCTTACCCACAGGTTCATTTCAATATATACGTAACTATAGTACGGTATGTTTGCAGGAAGCAACAACAAGCTTGGTAAATGCAGACATGATGATATTATCATTTAGCTAGAGATAAGGTGCAGAAAGACTGCAGAACAGCTACAGGATGTGGACAGTTAATAAAGGTGGAGATAAGATATTTTTATGAAAGTATTACTGGTACAGTATTTATTTTTCTCTTTTTGCAAAAAATCAAAGACTAAACATTGTTTCTAAGTTAGGTCTTTGATGATAAACCTTGACCTCAGAATAAGTGACCTCTTCAGCCTGAGCAGCGGTGTGGGATTTCTTATTAAGTGAGGATTCTGATTCTCTCATTCGTTTAGGCGTCACATCCGCATACACCACTTCATCCTACAGCAAGAGTTAAAAAATAGAGTTCATTTAACACCATGTTTCCCCCATCACAACCGTAATAAAAATAACCAGAATGCAAATCATTTGCGTATCACCAATCCAAAGTAATGCTTTAAATTCAGATTGACCTTACCTGCTCCTTAAAAATATAAGATGGTCTGGTCACACTGGCTAAACGCCTCGATGTATCTAGAAAACATATAAGCCTCATTAGAGGGACATTTAGGAGGCTAAAGAGGATTAACACATTATTTTTTAGAAACAGTTATGACAGACTGGTTTTACCAATGTGGACTTGAAGCCTGCGTGCCGCATTTTGTCTGTGGGAAGGAACATAACAAACTTAGATTAGCTGTCAGGAAACATTGGGTTTCACATTTGTAGGAGAAAAGAAAGACATTGTTGGTTTATTCAACTTTATCACTATTAGCACTTTATATAAAACAGAGTATAGTCAGTTATAGTTCCTAAAATACTACTTTGTTGCAGTAGCATAATTTCAATTTTCATTTTTTATTCACACCTTATCACACCGGCTGTCAGTACTTTGAACAATCCCCTTTTGCTGGTAAGACAGTACTTATTCTTCTCCTATAAAGCCAATCACACCATGGCGATTTAGCCAGCATTGCCCTGAGTCTTCTAAAACGCTGCCATACTCTGAAGTTCATCTGTATTTTTTCAATTTTGGGCGTATACAGAGAGTATTTATAACGAGTCCACAACTTATGTCCAACAACAGCCTAACTTATGCATAACACATGGCAGCGTAATGCCCATGAAATGTCACCAGCCAGTGTCCTGAGAGGGGCAGCCGGAGGTTCCTGGTCTGCATAAAAAGATAGCTTTGATCGCAGTATTAACCTAGCTGCTGTTTACCACCCATCAAAGAAAAAATAAATAAAAAGAAAAAAGAAAGAAGGAAGGATTGCAATCTCAGCAGATTCAGTGTCATGTCTGTTAGGAAGTTTTTTGGTCATGGCAATGAACTTAGGGAGGATCCATCACACTCACCTTCTGGCTCATCCTATGATTGGGATGAAGTCTGGAGGATAATTGACAGTTTGCTCCTGTGAACCCCCTTTTATACCAAAATGCTGCCAATACGGCATTATACGGTAATTGTACATTAGAAACATGTACAGCGGTCGTCTGAAACATGTCAAATACATTGATATGCATTGGAGATAAGTTCTTGATAAGTTAGGCATATTGTAAGTTATGCACAAGTTTTCATAGGTTTTGGTGAGCTAGATATCATGACTTATGAGTAACTTACACTTAAATTATGTCAACTATCAGATAATTTACCTGTAACTTATATCCCATGTATTAGCATATGCTGGCATACAGTATGCTGGGAAATTTTGAGCATGCTACTTGCTGTACGTCGACATGTGCCAGTGAGCTTCAACATGCTCATACTTTATACAAACCTGAACGTATGCCAGCGTTTTTGCCAAATTTTGTGTACATCAGGCATATGCTGTCTAAATTGTCAAGGCATATGCTGTCTAAATTTCTCAAGCCTTAAAGGAGAATTCCGGTTTTTAACACTTTTAGCCCATTTTCTGTAGTGTCCAGGATGAAATCGAATGATCGACACCAAAATTTTGACAATTGGTCCTGTCTCTGCTTTTTGGCTCATTTAGAATCACCCCCTGGCTGCTTTAGAATGGCTAGCATAGAGCATGTCCGATAATGTCCTTAAAACAACCTTAAACGTTCTTTTTTTAAAATATGCTACTCACCGGGTCGTCAGCGCTGTTCAATGACGTTCCAAAAAACGTTTCGTAAAGAAAAAACGTTCCTGTAGTGTTTTATTTAGCATTTTGTAAATCCCATTGAGTTCTGTTGGAATAGTCAATATTCCCCTGCCACCGGAAACGGAAATGGGGCCTGTTTACACTTAGTTGTAGTCTTTTCGCTTCACTCTGTGTACTCCGACGTCGAGAATCAAGAATCCACCTTTCGTATTCCATTTTCAGAGTTTTTTAAAGTGTTTAACAGAGACGTTAGCACCTCGACGTCGGAGTACACAGAGTGAAGCGAAAAGACTACAACTGTGTAAACAGGCCCCATTTCCGTTTCCGGTGGCAGGGGAATATTGACTATTCCAACAGAACTCAATGGGATTTACAAAATGCTAAATAAAACACTACAGGAACGTTTTTTCTTTACGAAACTTTTTTTGGAACGTCATTGAACAGCGCTGACGACCCGGTGAGTAGCATATTTTAAAAAAAGAACGTTTAAGGTTGTTTTAAGGACATTATCGGACATGCACTATGAAAGCCATTCTGAAGCAGCCAGGGGGTGATCCTGCATGAGCCAAAAAGCAGAGACAGGACCAATTGTCAAAATTTTGGAGTCGATCATTCGATTTCATCCTGGACACTACAGAAAATGGGCTAAAAGTGTTAAAAACCGGAATTCTCCTTTAACAAACAGAGAGAGGGACCTTTGAACATTCCTATTTGGACAGGGTAAAGATTCAGTAGCATGAACTATTGACAAGCCATTTACTTTTTACAGGCAAAAGCCTTCAGCTTTTATTTTAATTCATATAATACTTTTCTAAATGCATTAATCCATCTTCATTAACAAGGTTTGCTGCACCTTTTTTTAAATTGATACACCTTTGATGTACTCTTCAGTTTTCTCAGAGCTGTCTGATCTTTAAATAAAAACATCCCACGGCTTAATCACAACAATTTTTGATCAAAGCTGTCATCTTGGTTTAAATGTATAGTTTAGCCTTGTGTGATTCCTTGTCTTATCCATTTTTCATCAGGAGCTGAGGAACATGAATCTCAGCATTTACCAAAGGAAAACTAAAGACAAACCACATAAAAGAAATTTCAGTTTAAAAAAAGAAAGCATATATTAGATTCAATTTAAGAGTTGTTAGGAGTCAAAGAATAAAATTGCTTTTTTTTGTTTTTAATTTTTTTAAAAATTTTTTTTAATTTTTTTACATTTTTTTAATTTGATTTTTTTCTTCAAATTAGCACAGGTAAGTGAACTATATTTGGGATTATCAATGGTGGAGTTGGAGACCTCAGTCTTGGTCTCATTTCGTCCAACTCCTACAAATTGTAAAGGCAGGTTTGAGACTATAGATTTGTAATAATGTTAACTCAAAAACAAAGATCCATTTGATCTTCAGCTGCAGAAGCACATCACATTGAATGTGAACTAAAAGAAGCATCTATGATCAGAGCATTGCTGGATTATGCCAGGTCAGACAAAATATAAAGTTGTTATGCCTAATGATGACCATGAAATCTTGCTGAGAGAATGTCTTTTTTGATCCATTGCTTTAAAAAGCAAACAATCCCTTAGCGGTGCTAGTCTGATACTATCCCATTAACAACACAAGCAACCTTTAAAATAAAAACCGAAACTTTGGACTTCCAATTCATAACAGAATTAGTGTTGCACCGATACCGATACCAGTATCAGGTGGGGCCCCAATACTGCACTAAAATGGTGGTATCGGTATCGGCGTGTACCAACAATTAGGGCAGCAATACAATTTTGAGAGCCAAAACTTTATTCAACTATTGTCACCCATTCCAGGTTGGCAATAAAAAGTTCTACTGGATTCACTTTGTATGAGTCTTTTTCCTGCTTAACAAAGGTAGGCAGCACCTTGACAAAGCTATGATGGCAATTATTTTACATCCAAGTATGCAGTTCTTCATATACTATATACACACACATCAATTTAAAATAGATAGTATCGTTATCGGCCAATACTGCACAGCCAGGTATCGGGTATCGGTATTGGAGCCAAAAAATGGCATTGGCGCAACACTAAACAGAATCACTGTGCATAAAACAAAAAACGTGCCAACAATGAGAAAAAAAATTGGCTAGTTTTAATGAAGCCAAAAACCACAAATCCAGTTTCACCTTAGTTGCTTTTTTTCTCCACCTTAGCTGTTTTAAAGTCATAATCCATATAAGATAAAATATTTCTATATGGCTCTGAGAATCCATTTTCCCAGCATTATATTAGCCTGGGTGCCATTCCGAACTTAGTCCCGCCCACAAGGTTTGACGTTGGGAAGTTCGGTCTGGCATTGTTCAATATTAGCGCGAGTATGATCGCCCACTGTCAGGCGATCCAATCAAATTGTCAGGGCGGGCTTATACGATGATGGACAGATGATCAACAGTAACGTAATCAACCACGTGACCAAAGCGCGCTTGGGTGACAACAACAATGGCTGCCGCCGGAGAGCTGAGGTGAGTAGATTCTGCTATTAGGTCTGTTCTAGAAGATATCGACAGCAAATTAATTTTAAAAGAGGAACAGAGAAACGCAATCAAGGCTCATCTTCTTATTCTAGGCGTGAAACTGCACGCTTTGATTTTTGTTGACAACAACTATGCGTCGCTTAACATACATCACGCACTCCGTTGCTCTTATTGGTTGTAGGTCTATCCAATTGAGTGCAGAGGCATTTTTTTTCCTGGTTCGTTCGAAACACGCCCCATAATCACAGCTCTATGGAGCAGTATCAGACTCATATTCTGACTAGAATTGAGTAGGACTACGTCAGGCTAGCATTATATGTGACTTTTTTGTCTTCTTACGTCTCCTATTGGCTTTGTGATTTTTAAAAATGGACACGGATTGTATTAGCTCTGATGGTTCGTTGGACGCGTCAAAATGTATAAATATTTTGAGCAGCCTGACTTCATATGATCTGAAACAATTGAAAACTCTACCTAATTATTATAAATATATATGTATATTAATACATACATATGTATTTTTAAGAGCAGTAACCTTTGTGGTGTCCATGCTTTTTAGGGTAAAAATTAAAATACTAGTTGGTACTTTTATTTGTGTAAGGCTTATTAAAAGGATAGAAGAGGACGAAAAAAAATCCAGAAATAAGTTTGAACTCTCACAGCTGGCTCTAGGTCATCATTAACTGGTTGAAACAATCTTTAAGGGTTTGTAATCGTATAAAAAAAAAAAAAAAAACACTTCTTTTAACAGCCAATTTTAACAGTCTCTTACACAAAGTGTCTATTTTTAAATATGACAACTTATATGACTCTTACTGTTTTCCAAAACTGAGCAACAACTATTTCACAACGCAGGCTTATGAATAAAGTTTAGACAATACGTGTCAACATTTGGCTGCATTTATCAATTTAAATATTAGTTTATTAGGATAATTATTAATTTAGTAGTAAGAGGTAATTTCAATTAATATTGCTAAAATAAATTTGCTTTTTGACCTAAAATGTTTGTCTAAATCCCTTACATTCAGCCTTGGCCTCGGAATGTCTGATCTAGGCCTTTTTTTTCCCTTTTTATTATACCTTTATTTAACTGTTTGAGAACCACTTTCCTTTTGCAAACAGTCTTGACTTCCTCCCTGCCAGCAACTAACAACTCTTTTTGCTAATCTAGTGCTTAGTGATTATTTTTAGAATGAAACAATTAATAATCAGAAAAATAACTTAAAGAAAAATAAAACTGATTTTAAATCAGGTGAAGCTAAATGTATGCCGCTTTAGAAATTTAGGATAGAGCATATGTGAGGACAAAAAAGAGTTTTCATCATAAATGCAAATGACTTACTTCTTATATATTGATACTATTTCTGCATAATAACTGCTCCGAGTAGGTTGCTCTTTTAGCTAATGTAATGTATTAGAGTCTCCATACTCCAGTTAGCAATTAATCAATGACGAAATTGTTTGTTTTAATAATTGATTCATACAATCATCTGTTTCAAAAGTATATTTAATGTAAAAGCATGTCTTTAAGGTTATATAAACCACCACAATATGAATACTAATAAAAAAGGCCTACCTTTTGATATAGGTAAGGTAAGCTGCGGCGGTGAGGATCACTAGAAGAAGTAAGACTGAGATAATGATTGCAGAGAGTATCCCTGGGGATGTCTGCACCTGCTTTTGTTCAGGGACAGGCTCATCTGAAAGAAGACACAAGATATTAATCTGTGCTGAAATGTTGGTATTAGAGCACAGAAAGGCAATAAAATGAAGAAGTTGTTAAAGCTGATCGGTAAAATGTACGCATCTCAGAGTGTAATGTTTACTTACCATAAACAATAAGTGTAGTGGATTTTTTGAATGATCCACTGGGATAAACAGAAATGCTGCAGGTGTAGGAGCCTGTATCAGTCAATTTCAAATCTGTTATTTTCAGTGAGTGTTCTGTAAGATTCACTCTGTCCTTCAGGGAAGATTCTCGAATAGTCATTCCATGATCTGAGTTGAAAACCAGAATTGTGGAGTTTTCGCTCTCTGACTTTATATCCCACTGAACCTGTGAAACTATGGAATCTTTAGAGCTTGTGATGAACCTGCATCTTAAAACGACTTCATGGCCCAGGTATCCTGGAACTTCTGGCAGTACCTCCAGTTTTTGTGCCTGCAGATCTGAGGGACAATAAATGTTTAAATAGGAGAGACAGATGGAGGATAATTTAACTGAGGCTGCATTTCTAAGCTGGTAATTAAGCTATAATTTTGTTTTACCAAATAAATCCCTCCCTGCCTCAAAAACAAAGCATTAGGAAACAAACTTTAATATAATAAGATAAGGCAAATATCTCACCTGGAAATGATGTGATGAATATAATGTTCACAATAAGGAGATATAGTCTGTAGGTTCTCATTTCTTTAAACTGCATTTAATTTGAAGAAAAATAGTTATTAATCATCTGACTGTCATCTTTAAATCAACTTCAGACAAACTTACCGTCATTCCGTGGAAAAGCTGAAAGTCAGTTAAAAAATGCAAATCATTTGAAGGCGAGGCGGTGTATAGAGTAAGAAAGCGGAACAAGAGCTAAACGACGCAACCAAACCAATTTTTATTCCAACAATAACTGCAGAACCTGCTGAACCGCTGCCTCAGAGTGACACATTTAAATCTGAATACATACGTGCGATGGAGAGGCGCTGCTCAAAAATAGTATTTACCTAAAAAAGTTAAGTAAAAAAAAGTGCTAATACGCCAGTAAGGATATTATCATACAAGTTCCAAAGGTTTAAAGTAAAAAAACCTTTCAATAAATATTGAAAAGATCCCTCACAAACTTTACTGGTTGCCTCCTGATTGCCGATGTCAGGTGTGACTTCTACCCTGCTCAGCACTGACCTCTAGTGGTAGATCTAATATCAAAACTTTTTATTTCTTTTAAAAATGGTATACATGCTGCAAACTTTTTATAGACGTTTAAACCACATGTACTAAAAGGAGAATTTTTGTTAGAAAGAGACTCCTTACAATACAGTATATATGTCTATGAATGTATCTTAAAAGTGATAGATTTGGTCAAAGCATGGCAGAGTTGATTTTCTGACTTTTTGTCCAGTCTCACAATATAGAGAAGGGAGAAATACAGTTCAGTAGGGATATTAGACTTAGTGATTGTGAAAGACATGGCATAATTCTCTCAGATGTTTATTGGAGAAAATGTTGCTGAATGAAAAAAACAAACAAGTAAAATAGGAGATAAACAAAAGTAGTTTAAAATGCACTACATGTAACATGTTTTTTTCTTGACATTCAAATCTTTTACCACTGTTTTTCTTTCTTCACACTGATTATCATGTACTTCACACTGGTTTCATGCACAGCTGAGGTGAACTTAACACTTTTTGGTGGTCTTAGTGGTTGCCACACTCTGTGTTTTTTTTTCTCTGCTCTTTTTTTCTGTTCTGAATGACTTTAGTCCTAACGCTTGAGTAATTAAAGTCATTTATCATTTGAAAAAAACAATAAAACATTCTCAGTCCCTAAACTATCCATTACTATGAACCCTGATATTTGAAAACAAAACCAACCAACCATGTATTTCTTGTTATTCACAAGAGCGTTCATTATGCAACACGTACTGTATCTCACCTCTACAATTGTCACCGAATAGAAGACACTTTTTTTTTTGTCAATAAAAAAAACATAAAACCATGCATCATCCCATGATATCTCGAGGAAAAAAATAGGTATGAGGAATTCTCTGGTACAGCATAAAGTGACTGCATATCTATAGGTGAGGGCACAGATTTTACTGTACTTTTAAAGAGATATAAGGAAATCAGTACTTTTTACTTAATGTTGAGAGGCGACACATTGATATGTGTATCAAAGTGCATCCAAAAAGGAAGAAATTCACATTCTTTTGTTTTTCTTGGTAAATATACTTATATATCAATGAGCTTTTTACGAAAATGACCTGACTGCTGTACTTAGTGATTAAGGAGTCATTTTTGTAAACAACAGATACACTGACTTCAGATGTTCTAACAGGAGACACAAAGAAATGCAAAAGAAGAATTTGCTACAAAACATGAGATAGATTTTAGTTCGATGTGTATTGACTGTCAGGAGGTTAATGATCATTTTGTGTTTTTTTATTTAGTTTGTATCCTGCATTTTAGAAGAAGGTATAAAAAATATAAAGAAATAAAGCTATTGCAGTCAAAGCTCTGCATTCTTTTTCTGTTGAACAAAGCATTAGACCTTGTCAAGTAATCTCAGACTGGCACATCTTGATACACTTTTAAAATTAATGTGTGATTTTATTTTTTACACTGTCATTTTTGAAATGACAGTGTAAGAAATAACATTGAAGAAAAAACAAACAAACCCTTTATCTGAAAATAAAGTGGAGAAAGTAGAAAAAAAACAGAGAGACTGCGCACCTTTACATAATCAGAAAGGAAACATAAACACAGTGGTGACGACAAAAAATGGAAAGAAAATCAAACAATAGCCCTGCTAAACCGCTTCCCTCGAGTGACCCAGATAAACGTGAATATAAATAAATACAAATCTAAAAAAACTCAGCTAAACAACTATGTTGTGGCAGTTATGGTAGCCAAACTGTAATGCAATGTTCTGAATAAAAATGATATAACGACATTTAAATATTTTACATATTCTAAGCATTTTGTAGCACTTCATGAATCTGTGGGAATATTTATTATTAACAAAGAAACTAATCTTTCCATCAGTGACGATCATTGGAATATTTACACCCACAGTGAATCATGAAGGTAAGAGTGGAAACAGGGTAGGCAGGATTTTAATCTAATCAAGTTAAACGATTTTACAGAGTTAGAACAGTGCTTACAGTGATTTTCAGCACATTTAGTAATAAACCAGGTATTAACAGCTGGTGCATCAATATATTACATCTGTGTGCAAACAGAAAACAATGTTTTGGAGCTCATTTCTTAAGGATCATTTTTATTTATGCCAAGTTTTCATCAATGAAGCAGTTTGGGACATATGCCACCAGGGCAAAAATGGAAAATACTTCTAATAAGTATAATACGCTTTAGAAATGTGACCATTATAATATTATAGATAACATCATACCAAATAGAACTCAACTCAAATGTCTTCTACTGTATTTTTGCAGCATATCTATTTGATCGCTGCTGGGCTTAATAAACGGAAATGTTATTTTCCACTGCTAAGCTGCTCGTTTACTGTCGGAAAGCTGTATAAACAGATTTTTGTAAATACAAAATTACAATAAAGTTTGTCTAAGTCTAGGTCATTATGATCTTTGCTTCTCTGGGTTACAGTCTAACATATATTTAATGCAGGCAGTTTCATAGGACATTCAAAGTTGGTATAAACAGCTTAAACCTGAAAAAGAGTAGAGAGTTAATGAGATCTCATTTGATCTCTTCATACAAACTTTAGCCAAAATGTTTCATACTGCTTGCAGATACAGTTTTAAAGTTTTTATTCAACTTAGAAGTTTGTTTTAAATAAGACATGTCATGTAAATCTTCTTTGCATTGCAGCAGTCAGAACATTTCTATGCTTCCACTGGTATTGAGGTGAGCTTCAGGTCTTAAAGGTTCCTAGCTGGAGTCTAACAGAGCTACACCAAAACATTTAAAAAACATCCAATAAGAAATAAAACATGTTGGCAAATTGAATGATTAGAGTAAACATACATTTCCCATTATATGAATATTCTGTGATTACCTGCTAAACTATAATTATACTATGGCAATGCTATAGCTGTAATGGAAATATAATATCAAGTGTCTGTCTATTCAATAACTTTCACAATATTTCTTGGCAGTGCAAATATTTCTCTTTTACTTCAGGTTGTTTTTAGTTTCCTGCAGGATACAAAGTTTCTTGAAATGCACATTCTTGCCAGCTTTTCATTGGGGATGTTCTTCAGTAGTTGCTGAGGGTTGAATATGAAGAAAACAGATAAATCAATGTACAATCATTATTGATTAGAGATATAACAATAGCTCTTTTAGGCTGTTGACTAATGACTCACTCACCAGTTTTTTTTAGATCCGTGGTCTCCAACTCAAATCCTTGAAGGATGGTGTTCTGCATCATTTAGATCTGTGCCTTACTCTACAAACCTTAATCAAATTATTAAACAGAGCTCCTCTTGAGAGCTCTGTTCTGAAGACCTGCTTTGACTGGTGTGGTATGTGGGAGCAACAAGAAGGTAATTTTATGAGAATTAGGAATTATGCCCTAGCATGCCCTTTAGATATTTTGTGTTGTGCTTTTGCTGTATAGTTTATTTGACTTTTAAATAATTTAAAAAAATATATAAAATGTAGTTGTTTGTGTACCTGGAAGCTAACTCCTAGATTCCTAGATGCTCTTTTTGACACTGAATCAGCCGAATTACCCCACTGTGGGAGAATAATGACATTTCTATTCTATTCTATTCTATTCTATTCTATTCTATTCTATTCTATTCTATTCTATTCTATTCTATTCTATTCTATTCTATTCTATTCTATTCTATTCTATTCTATTCTATTCTACTGATATGGGGTGAAGCTCCCCAGATATCTCCTAATGAACTAATATTTGAGTGTGTTATGCAGAGAGGGATCTAAAAGTTGCAGGACGCCGGCCCACAAGGACTGGAGTTCGAGACCGTTGTCTTACACAAACCCTTTCAGAAGAATTGCACAGATGAATAACGATGAGAAAGTCCAAAAAGGGGCAATACAGGATGCTGTAGGTAAAGAAGAGGAGCTTCAGTCAAATTGTCTGCATCCTTTTAATTCTTTAACAGAAACAACATGCATGCCCAATAAATATCATCTTACCTCTCAGGTCCAGGATGGTTGAATTTTCCTTCATTGTCACCATGTTTCTGGCAGTGCAGGTGTAGTTCCCAATGCTTTTAGGCCCTAACTTCTCTATAACAAACGTGGAGGTTTTGACATTTGTGTTGTTGCCGTTAAATGACCAGCTAAAGTTTGCTGGAGGGACAGAATCTGCAATGCACTGCATTGTCACTTTATGGCCAGGCCAGGCTGCTGATGGTCCGATGATTGAAACGTTATATGGTCCATCTGCACAGAAAGGTATTAGATGTCAAGTCTAAGCAATAAAAATCTGACCCGTGGTCAAACCTCTTAAAGAGGATAAATAAATCTTGACTTTACAGTACTTACAGTTGACAGTGAGATGAAGGGACGCAGTCTGGCTGCTGACTGGGTTGCTGACTCGACACTGGTAGGTGCCGTGGTTTGAACTGACAGGTTGTATGAACACAGTCCTGTTGTCCATCCCTAAGTTGAGGCTGTCAGTGAGATGAAGATGGTGGCCATCTTTTATCCATTCTCTGGTGATGATGGAGCCGGAGCCTTCACAGGTGAGGGTGGTGGAGCTTTGACCTTCTATGAGGACTGCTGCAGGGCTGCTGATGGTGGCTGCAGTTATCGGCACTGGTGGGCAGAAGGGGTCCAATGTGAAAACTTTAAACAAGAACTACTCAGTTTTTAATAAATAGATCTTGCTTTTTTTGTATATCAGGTTGATTCCTTCAAACCATTGTTATTGTAGTTATTATATGTATTCTATTTTAATGTTTTTGCTTTACTTGTCTGGCTAAAAACACTGATGTAACCTGATCACTCTTTAATTTTTTGTAGATCTTTAAGCCGGAAAAAGGATTTATCTAAATTTTATAGCACTATTAACTTATGCACGTAGACATAGCGTATCTGTACTTTCTGTTTCAAGACGAAGCTGAAAATATGAAGAAAAAATAAATAAATGTATATATATATATATATATATATATATATATATATATATATATATATATATATATATATATATATATATATATATATATATATATATATATATATATATATATATATATATATCAGTTGATGGAAAGTAGAGCTTTAGCAATCCATAAATGAATGATAATTCAGTGGGTAAAATGTTTACATGGCAATCAGTGGTTATATTAATGTGAGATTTATTTATAGCTTGATATCAGATAAGCGTTTGTTATTGATAGAAGCCTACAAATAAAAACGCTACTTCACAACAAAGTACCTCATTTACAATTCTGTTCATACTGGTATGTGGATGTTTAAAAGAGCAGTCAAACAGAAACAAAAATTCCGTTTTGCAGATCAACAGCATTTAAAGGTATAGTAGAGTATGCTTTTTTTCTGGGTGGATCATCGAAATAACTGGTCCTCCTAATTGTCAATCATTCTAGTGATATGTTTACGCAAGGCCCTCCTATGTGCTTCTCCCCATTTTCACTTACCGGCGATGAGTCTGACATAGTGGAAAAATGGAAAATGTTCTTTATGAAAGTAAGCTTGTATGAGCGATGCTAACAGCAACTTTTAAACAGAGTGTGCACGAGGAGAAATGGGCCTTTGCACCTTCATGCACATATCTAATAGGCGATCCCTCTCAGGAGCAGGTACAGGGTTGTGCAGGTGCATTTTTTTGATAAAAAAAAAAAAAAAACGGGTTTAAAAATAAAGCAATGAGGTTGAAGGCTTTGGCTTACCCTCTGGTGCTATTTTCCTTATTCTAGATAGAAACATTGAAATACAAAGCTATTGCAGCATCAGAGGAGAGTTTGTAATCTTAGGCTGATTTCATAAATCATTTTTTCAGATCGTAGGTTATGATTGTTTAAAAATAAATGTACTGTCAACGTTTTCCAGTTGGATTTGTCCTAGTGAATATGTCCCATTCTTCTTATTCTATATTAACCTGTGCTCAGTTTAATTGCAAAAACAAAAATTCTCTCAAAAGATGTTCACAGACGTACCATACACATTGAGGGTGATCCTCCCCATTCTCTGCAGCCCCCGATCTGGTATGATGGTTAGCCTGTACTCGCCACTGTCCTCCAGCACCAGGTTCCGGAGCTCCAGGGTTCCTGTGGCTCGATCTAATGAGATTCTGTTGGTGTGACCCGGTTCAGTGATGTTGGTGCTGGTGGAAGTGATAATGTTTACTCCTTTAAAGTCCCAGCTGACAGACAGAAATGGTCTCTCTGGTGGGCTGAGCGTGGTGGCAAACTTCACTCTGCCCCCTACGGCTCCACTCAGGGGTCCTGGAGGTAAAATATTCTCACCTGCACAAACAACTTTTTAAAAACAAAAGAACAGAAAAAGAATCAAACCTTTAACCAAAATCCTACTTCTGTAAGAGTAATCATCTATTTCTATGAGAAAACCTGTTAAATATACCTGATAACAGAAGGACTAATGCAGCTAATGCAGTGTTTCTGTCCATGCTTTGAATTGAGTTTTGGAATCTTGTTTCAGATTCGCCCAGAGTCTGAAATGCAGTGACAGTCAGGGATGCTCCTTGTCTTTTATTGTCCCGCACTCACAATAATGGGGCCAACTCCAGCCTCCCCATTCAGCAAGGCAAAGAGCAAATATTGTTTGCTCTGTTTGTGTACATACCTCTAACTGCTTTGAGCATGCCATCAAAACTTAGATGCTCTCTGGCTAAGGGGGATTTCACAGAAAAGTACTCCACTTACCTTTGGAAAGAAACATCTTAAAGGATCTCGGTCAGCTAGATTGTGATATTTGTCATTTTGTGCCCCTGCAAGTTTTCTAGTCATATCTCAAACTCAAAACATCAAAGAACAAGAACAAATAAGTTTGATTTAAAAAAGATTTTGAAAATGTTTAGAGACCGTTAATACACCTAAGTCTGGACTAAAAAGAATAAATATTTGTTCTATGCTGGTTTGAAACAAAAAGTAATCCAAAGTAAAACTAATATTGCAGATTTTCTTTTAAATATCCACTAGGTATTCAAACTTTTGGTTTAATGATGTATTTGTATGGACCAAATTGCTTTCATGCTGCATAAATAGATAACCTGAAGTGGAAAAAGCACTTCAGATGTTTGACATGTTGTTGATGGGGAGACCATCAGTTTTTATGAGCTACTGAAACGTTTTAAGTCTTATTGAAAGTCCCTGTTTAAGAAACTGCAGTGAACCGTGGCATTCCTTCAGAAGGAGATCAAAGACAACCAGGAGACACCAAGCCTCCATCAGACAACTTACCAAACATAGGGATCCTTTCAACAGCCTCAAGAAGACTTGAAAAGAGACGTATGCAGGTGAAGACTCTCAGTTATCCAGTTTGTAGTGATTCCAAAAAAGTTTAAAAAACAATCCAATTAACTTTGTTTTCCAAGTTTGAAGATGTTTCATTTCCCATTAAGGAAGCTTTTACAATTCAACAGAGAGACAGAGATGTGTATACAGTATGTATACATACTTACACAGTATACAGAATGAATATTAGATCAGTTTTCACTGATGTTTGTTAAGGTTTTTCTATTTAAAATAAGATGATGGAGCTCAGCAGACATCGGCTGAAACACAGAGGTTTTTACAACCATATTACTCATATAGAGTCCAACATAGATGCACAGAGCAGGAGAGGAGATGCCTGGAGTATATTCTTAGTCCTCTAGTAACACTTTGATATGTAATTACTGGTATACCGCATCAGGTCAGTCATACTGGAACTGTTTAAGTAAAAGTGGAGCTTCCACTTAAATTTGACTGTGACTAAAAAGAATTATGTTTGTGTTTAAGACAAATTAGTTAAAGATAAAGGAAAACAAAAGAATGTAACAGTATTAATGGTATACATTTTTTTTTTGCTAGACATACTGGATACTGGATACACTGAATTGAATTATCAAGTTAGGCAAAGACCAGTTAACAAGCCATTCATTTGATTCAGCTGTGAAGAAACAGGGATGTATATAAAACTTGCGAGACAGAAGATCTCAGGGACCAGGGTTAGAGTCCCTTGTTCTAAACCCTAAGTTGCCAGAATCAGGGTTTAGAGTTTTAAGTTTTCTTCTTTTATTTGAATCTTGCAAAAAAATAAAAAAGTCTACTCAACACCGTGTTTCTACAATATAAGCATTTATTTTTCACATGTGGGTATACCAGTGATACCAACAGGCAGTCAACATTTATTATTGTTTTATTTAATATATTTACACATATTTAGAAGCATAATTATTTACAATAATTTAACAAATTCATTTCCAAAATGTTCCCATTATTCTAAGCCACACTGGTTTTGTGGTTCATGAAGTTAAATTTTTTGAGTTTATTTTTTAAACCATGAGACAACTAAGTCAGACAAAATCCAAAAACACCACTTAAAAGGAAAGACTTACAAAAATACATATAAATTAATTAAACAATGTTTGGCCATTTATTTCTTCAACATCCTATTAAGGAAAGTGGCGTCTTCAAGAGGTTCTCCAGTTTAGAGTTTCTGTTGAAGAGAAAAGGTCAAACAATAATTAAGCTGATTCACAATTCCACGTAAATTTTTTTACTCTAAAAAATCCTAAACTCACAGTTTCATGTGGATAAAACAAATCTTTCTCCACAGTTTCACTGCAACTGCTATACGTCTCTTTATGGGTTTCTTTTCTGATCATCTTTTCTGAAGGGCAAAAAACAACACAAGGGACACATTTTAATTTATGTATTACTTTTATGATGGTAATTAGTCATTTCCATTGTAAAAAGATAAGCCAAGAACCAATCAATCCTTATTGACAAGGTTGATAGTTACTGCTGAATCTTGAAAAGTTATAAATCATTCTGAAAAATAGACAAACAAAAATGAATGAACACCCTCTATGGAAAGACTAAAAATATTCAATTTAATTGAAAAGTAAAAAGTCTCATTAAATATATAAAGAAAGATTGTGTCATTAGCTAGTTTTCTGTTTTCTACCAGAACTGATTTTTACCAAACCTTTAAAATCTTTACTGCTGAATATGAAAACTATATTGAACCAAATAGATTTTTTTTCCTGTAATATTTATTTTTAATCTTTTGACTTTTCCTTTATTTTAAAATATTTGAAGTGGTGCAAATCTGTAGTCCCTTTTCTGGCTGCATATTTTCACTGCTCAACCACAATTTTCTAAAAATAATTAATATTAATACATAAAGTTCATTGTTTTTAGTGATTGAGCATAAAAAGCAACAGAAAAAAATAGTTTTGCATGTATTTTGCAGAGAAAGCAGAGCTCGTACTGCATAGTGAATCATTATCAGGTAAGAGCAGCCTAGCTGGGACAAATTTTTATTCTCCAAACTATGTTTCTCTTGTTTTTCCAGGAAACACATTAAAAGGTAAAAGCAAACAGGTCTCCGCCTTCTTCTTTACAGGAATTTTAATTGGTTTGTAAAGTAATAGTGGTGTTTTTCCCCCCTAAGGTTTGTGAGTGTCAAAACAGCAGGTCATCGTCCTGCTTTCAAAGATTGCTACAGGGACAGATTACCTAATACTCTTTTTATTATATTATTTAATCATGACATTCCACAAACATATCTTAACCAAAATTTGCTTGCCTTTATAAACCCTATCCTATATTTTGTCATGTGGTAATATTCGTAAATTTCCATTATAAACTTACCTTTTCTTTCTAAAAACAAAAAAAACACCACAGTTCCACTCAGAGCTGCAATAATGACACAGCATCCAGCTGTAATGATGGACGTTATTCCAATAGCTTTTTGCAAGCACAGCCTTGGAAGTCAGAAGGAGAAAGATATTTTTATTATTCAAAGTTTTTCTTTTTTTTTCAAACCTACCTCTACAAAAGAGGCAATTTTAGGTTTTTCTCAGATGTTTCGGCCCCATATTGACTCTTTTCTGTAGCTACATTCATGGCAGTGCAGGAGTACGTCCTGCTGCGAGAGCTTTGGCTTGACTGGATGACATCCACTGCTTCCTGACAGTTGGTTGGTTCTCCATTAAAAAGACAGGTGAACCTTAAGGCACAGACATTGTGAAACAATAGAGCATTGTGACATCTCCACTGTGCACTGAGGCAGGTCCTTTAATGGATGAGTTATCGGGTCCAGATGATGTCAGAAGAATCAGTGGTGCAAATAATGTGGTTTGGCTTCAGTTTTTATAGAGGCTTTTCAGTTGTTTTGGAACTAACACCATTCAGTTTGGGGTGCATGGGTGATTAAAACAGGAGCCTTTACGACTGGTGCAGGAAGAAAAAAACCCAACCTGATTTGTTAAAAGAAACCAATTATATTTATTAAACAACTAGTTCCCAGGTATTATGTTCAGTAAAAAATCTGCTAATTTAGAGCATGCATAAACTAAAACCTATGTTCTCAAAATGTGGAATATGTTGTACATTTGAATTAACAACCATGGGGAAATAAACCACTGACTACGCTGCTTGTTTTTAACGGAAAAGACTTTATGACACAATACAAGTTGTATCTTTGTGCTTATTAAATTTTAAATAAGGATCCAACAAGGAAACCCTTGTGTTAATTGACTGATCTTACAGGTATAAAGTCTATGATTAAGGGACTTTATGCTGCAAAACTCAGTATTTTTTTTGCAACAGAAGTAAAGATAAATAGTTAGATAGTAGATCAAACCTATATTAAATCCCTCACGTATATTTGATATAGCAAAACAACAACAAGTAAGATTTGTACAACACATTGAATGAATCGATTCACTGGCTGGTTGATTTCGTCTCCAAGAACACTGGACACATAGCATTTGTACATTGAATATTGTCAGAGTGGATGCTACACCACCCTAAGTGATCTGAACTCTATCACTTCCTGTAACCTCTGAGCTGCTGCTGATCCAGAGGAAGCTGGGGGATGATCCAGAGGAGAAACAGGAGAGACTGACAGAACCCCTGAGCTCAACCAAGTCTTTGTTGTTTGAAACAACAATTACACTGGAGACAGAAGCTGCAAAGAAGAGTAAAAAACAGAATGTAATCCAAAGTTTTCATGTTACCAATAGTTAAAAATACTCAATCCAACTTGTTCTGAACAAATACAGGTGAAGCTCTAAATGTTTGGTATCTCAGGTTTTGTTATTAAAGGATTGCCAGCTGTAGTTTCCACGCTGACTAATCATAACAATAATCAGTCTGAGATCATCTCCAATATGAGAGAACCTGTCCCAGAAGCCACATAAATTCAGCCAAAGGTTGAGACGCAGCGAAACACATAAAGGTGATGTTAGATGCTTGCTCAAAAGTATTCCTGAGGTGGAGACACCTTCAAGTAAATTTTTTTCTGGGCCATCTGAAGACATAAGACACAACAGTTACATAAAAGCAGTTTTGGAAAAGCTCCAATTGAATCTGTCTCGGTGATTGGTGCTGGTGATTGATAGGTGGAGTGGCAGAAGTCCCTTAAAGCAAACTTACCAAGAGAAACTGGAGGTGAAACTGTTTGGACCCGATCAACAGAACATCAAAATTAATCAGCAGTCACTACACTACACTATACTACGCAATACACTGTTGCAAAACTA